TCAATGAAATTTATACTAGAGATAGTTTCAATGTCGGGCTCTCGAATGAGAGGTTCCGCAGAAATAAAAGTCCTATAATAGCTGAGATAGAGCTGTCACAAAGTGAGCCTAATGTTCAAAGCATAACTCTATTACACAGCAATGAATTGAGGTCGGGTTGGTGCTTGCGATCAGGGTTAGTCATGACTCAAATGTATCCAAAATATCAGCTCAAAATCATTAAAATTGGTATCACTTCAGGGGGGGTCGTTACTTTTGTCCAGGAGTGTATTATTTCTATTCTCTTTTTTTTTCATTTTAATTTTCTTATTTATCCCTGTTTAGACATGAAAAACTAGAATCATCTAGTTCATCAATGATTCTTTTTCTTTCTTACTTTTGATTGAATACGAACAAATTGTTTAAATGTTGTAGATCAATTTTTATTCAATGTAGAATATTTTAAATAAAAACTGTTTTTCAATAATGATGACATTGTATCATGTTGTATTTTGAAATAGATGATTTGTCAATCATCTATTTGAGTGCTGGTCTATCGTGTAAAGAGAGTAAGTACATATATAATGAATTGATCGTCGACGAAAACAAAGATGACAATGATCATTTCATCAATTATTGAGTTCATGAGAATCAATTTTTTTCTTTTCGATTATCAATCTTTTAATTGGTGGAGAAAAAAAATAACACTGTAACGTCATTGACTAAAAGTTCATGTCTCAAACATATATAAGGAATGATTTTCTTGTATGAAATCCTTCTATTGAAACATAATTATGATAATGAAATTTATACAATCATACGGTACCGTATCATTATTTACAATGTTCCAAATTTGAATGTTAACATGTATTATTAACTTACGTAATGTTTTATATATTTCAATTTCAAATCGGGTAAGTTGCTATAGTTTCTTTTATATAGAGAAGGAGAATAGAGAGATAAGACAGTTACTAACTAAATTTAGTCTTTTTTTTTCCTTATTGAGATGCGAATAAATATAAATAAATTGAAAAGTTCTAATGGCCAATAGAACTTTTCAAGTTATTTTCTTGATAAGTTAGACATATAATCTATTCCAGATGGAATATATTTTTTTCTTTGTTGTAGTAGTAGAGTGAGGTATCAACTTATATCCCAGCCTGTCAGATGGCTTCGTAATCTGACCCAGGGAGATCTATTGTGCCTATGTTGAAGAAAGCAGTGGAGTACTCGGGAAGACCGTCTGTTCGTAGGTCCCTGTCGCCGTTTACGTACGTCACACCTATGATCATGCCCTACCAGTCCGGCGTGGTCCGCTCAGCGTGTACCCGTTACGGGCTTACAGAGGGTCTCCCTGGTCGCGCGCGCGTGTACGCGAAAATGAGCGGAGAAAAGCCAAGAAGTGAGGTGAATTGCAATCAAAATCAATTTATTGAGGAATTGAGAAGAAAAAAAAACAGTTACATTTTCTTTTTCACAATGTCAATATTATTCATCGCCGTTTTAATATTAGGATGTGTTGATGGAAATGATTTTTGCCAGATGGCAAGTGCCTTTTCTAGGTACGAAAGCGCTTTTGGGTAGTCACCTTTTCCGGAATAAGCCATACCGATGTTGTTGTAGGAACCAGCCAATGAGGGATGATTCGGAGGCAGAGATTTTTTCGTTATTTCTAAATCTTTTTCGTAAAATTCAAGTGCTTTCGAGTAGTTACCCATGTTGTCATATGCAAGACCGATGTTGTTGTAGGAAGGAGCCAAATTGGGATGATTCGGAGGCAGAGATTTCTCGAGTATTTTATGTGATTTTTCGTAAAATTCAAGTGCTCTCGAGTAGTTACCCATGATTCTATACACTTCACCGATGTTGTTGTAGGAAGTAGCCAATGAGGGATGATTCGGAGGCAGAGCTTTTTCTTTTATTTTAAGTGATTTGTCGTAAAATTCAAGTGCTTTCGAGTAGTTACCCATGTTGTCATACGCAAGACCGATGTTGTTGTAGGAACTAGCCAAATCAGGATGATTCGGAGGCAGAGATTCTTCTTTTATTTTAATTGCTTTTTCATAAAATTCAAGTGCTTTCGAGTAGTTACCCATGTTGTCATACGCAAGGCCGATGTTAGTGTAGGTAGGAGCCAATGAAGAATGATCTTCCGGAAGAGTTTTTCGCTCGATTTTAAGTGATTTTTCATAAAATGAAACTGCCTCCTTGTATTGTCCTTGATCATCTTTCAAATATCCAAGCATATGATATATATGTGCTCTGTCATCGGCGCTGGACGAGTTCTTCAGTAATTCGTTGTAAAGTTCTTCAGCTTGATTGTAGTGACCCACTTGAAGCATTAGATGGCCCAAATGGTGCCATCCTGTGGATCCACAGAGTTCCCCTTTTATGCGTTCAGTAAGAGTAGCCAGTTGTGGATCATTGTCGCCTGTGAGAGTCAATTGAACTTCCCATAGACGACTGTTGCTGACTGCCTGCTTGATATCATCGACACGAAAAACAGTGTGCATTGAGAATAGAATTTCTTTTTCACTTTCGATAGCGCTGTATTCGTCGATGAGGGCAAATGGAGTAGTTGAAGCTGAAATTTTACTTGAATCAATTGTCATAATGAAAAGGACACCCACGATGTCTTTATTCTTGTGCATGGTACGCTGAACAAATCCCTTAGCAACCTGCTCTTTTGTACTAGTCGACAAAAAGTTGTTGAACGAAAGCAGTCCTCCTTTCGTGTCGACTAGGTGCTGAAAGTCTTCTTTGATGAGTCCTTGACCCCGATAAACAATGAATTTTTTCATATAAGTACCTGACTGTTCTCTGTGCAGTTGCTCTAATTGCTGATGAAGATCTCGGATGAAGAAGCCCATTTTTGTCATGGCTTCCATCTCCAATGATCGTAAGGCGAAGTTGAGCATGCCATAAACAAAAATTTCACGTGTATACCACCAGACTGGCGATTTCTGGTGATATGTACTTTGAAAGTACTTTAATTCGTTCTCTGGAATACCTTTGCTACGACCATAGACAACCAAATCTTTCAGCGGTTTAGCATCGTCTTCCTTGATTTCAAGCATAATTTCTTTGAATAACACTGAATACATAAAAGATGGTTCCAATTG